CACTGCGGCAATAATTCTCTAGTGCACAATGACGGAATCTTCAGAATTTCAATTTGATCTGCAGACCAAACTTTTTTATAGGACAAATACAATTTACCTTCCTACTAAATCATTAAAACTAGGAAAATTGTCATGCAAACTTATATGAAGTTGTAGAACATTTACCAAAATCAGACTTAATTGCTGCTTAACGGTATATTCTTGTTGTTTGATTTGTTGGCCCAACCTTTGCCTCAGTAAGAAACTGTGGAAAAGAATTCGCGAGCTCCAAAAAAGTGATGATTTTTGGAGTATAAGTTTAAAAGATTTGCAGTGTTTTATACGAGACGATGTGAGAAGCTGAATTTCTTGTCTTGACACTGTTATATGATAAAAGGTACTTGAAATAAACATCACTGGGAAACTAATGCTTACCGATCTAGGCGAAGTTTCCCTTGTGGGCAGAAAACTCATTGGACTGTGCATAGATGAGAGACTAGCACGAGATCTTCCTGAGGTATCCCTTGAAGTGGGAGTACTTCTGAATTTTCTTCAGGAGTTATGAAATCTCAACGAATTTGTCCCATAGATTACCTCTGTGCAGAGTTTAAACTGCTACGCTGAGCTGGTGACCATGTGTCGCGAGATGCTGCAGCAGAGCTTCTTGTGGGCGACCATGCTTCGCGAGAATTTGTTCGAATATTAGGGGACCATACGTCATGTGAGTGGGGTGGGCTAGATGGTGGTGAATTTATGTGAATGGAATCCATAGTGGTGCGACGGGGCAGTTGGGCTCGTTTGTCAGCTATCTGAATAGCGGTATGTTAGAAAATCAAGAAATAAATCCAGGAACTTAGAAAAATCCCAAGGAATAAAATCATAGCAATTACAGTACCCTAACTCTAGGTAAGCTCGGCCATCGAATAACATCCCATGCATAGAAGTCGTGCATTAGCTAGTTTTCCTACAGAATTCGTGGCAAAAAAAGTGAATTCGCAAAAACTCGTACGTAGGCGAAGTGGCCGC